GTAATGTTTCATCTTTGCTCTGCCCCAGAACATCTTCGCCATGGACCTCCGCAGTGCCCACAAGGAGAAGCCGGCCCCTCGCTTGCGTCTCTCCCTCACCCGCGCCATGAGCACAGATGTGGACCAGGGCGAGCGGGGTGGCATATACCGCCGGTCAGCCTGGAGGAAGAGCAAGCAGAGGGCATCCAAACGGGGGCCAGGAGGACCCTCGCACAAAACCCTCCGTCCACTGAGGAAGAAGGAGGAGCCCATGGTGGAGGACTGGGGCGGCACCAGCGAAGAAGAGAAGCCAGAGTCGGAAAGCACCACGGAGGAGAGATGTGAAGACAGTTTATACGGTCGGTTTGTTAAAATAATCATTTAGAAATTGAGGTTAATTCTGTTCTTGACCTTTGACCCTCAGGAATGAACAAAAATTCTCTTTTTTCCCCTTAAGGTCAGTCAGAGTGCAGCTCCCCGCCCCTGCTGGAGCGACAGGACTTAGAGATGGAGGTGGAGGAGAACGTGGGCACCGACCTCACAGCGGTAGGTACAGAAACATGGACCGACAGACTGGGAGGGACATCAGAAACAAGACAGAACCAGACTTTTGCGTGCGACCAATCAGAGGACAGTGCCTCGGTGCCTGAGGCTGGACCAGGAGATGCAGTTACCCTGGGCGACGAGTCAGATTGGGACAGATTAGGTGAGGAGGGCGCTGAGTCGGAGTGTCTCACATTAGAGAGCAGTGTTTGTCAGAGAAACAACACAACCTCGGTGATATCGAGCGTTCAGGAGTGCGGAGAGACGGCAGGCGATGACGCCGCCGCCGCCACTGTCTGCTCCGCTGCTGAGGAGAGGAAGGAGGAAGTGAAAGGCGACAATCAGAGCGTTACCACGGCGACACCAGGCAGTCAGACTGCCGCAGCAGAGCATCCTGGGAAGGTGATAGTGACAAATGTGACTATCAACTCTTTGACCGTGACTTTTACAGAAGCCACGGTGGCTGAAGGCTTCTTTAGGGGCTATTGAATGATGACAAAGAGAGATGGAGGGAGATCAAAATAACCATAAGTAGACTTGCCACTCATTTTGTACATGTAAATAGTCGTATGTGTAAGATAATTCCACATGTTTACAAAGCTACACTCATTTCCTACTGAGTTCAATGAAGACATTATTGCCTTTGAATAAAAAAATAAAAAAATGAGTGGTAATTTTTATCATTGTGTTTATTAGTCATGATAGGAAGCCAGAGGCCCCCAAAAATGTGCTCAAATCAACCAGTGCAGTCCAGGAGACTAAATGGATCTCAGTGGCGGGTTTTATTCCCGGGGCCGCTGGGTTTACTGAGAGCAGGAGACAGATGGTAAGACATCAGTCTAAAATGTTACAGTCCACATTACTACTTCCATGCACTTACTTTTTCCAGCCGTCCTCAGTGCTTTCCAGCCAGACATCGGTCTCACACTCAGATCTGTTCTCGGGGGCCTGTTTCAGTCGCTCCTCTTTCTTACGAATAATGTTTTGTAAAGATATTGTTCTTTTTTTCAGTATTCTCACAGAGCTATAACCGCATGCCCTGTCATTCTGTGCCACACATGCACAAAGCCTTGTCCTGTGGTTTGTTGAAGAGGTTTATTTATGTCACAAAAGAAATAAAACAAAGAGAGTGAGTTAATGCCTGCCGCTTAGATGCAGTTCTGCATTTCAAGGAGTATGCACAAAAAGAAGTTCACAGTTGTGTTTGCCGTCTGTCTGTCCTTTTACTTTTCAAGTATGAAATGCTACCTGGTTCTATTTTTGTATTACCAATTGATAGTCCACTCTTTTCACTAGCCTTTGTGCATTTCAAAAGAGGATATCAGTTTACACTGCCGCTGTTACGCTGTGTAGGGTAATGTGCAAATCGAAGCAAATGTACGTTAGATCAGACCGTAGTGAGTTATTATTTATTGCATGTCCCATGTACAAGCTAAACTAACTTATGTCACTTAATGCGTCAGAATCTGTCTTTCTCTGACCAACATGAACTGTCAAACATGTCTTCTCTTTTTTATTTTGATTGAATTTACAATAAATATGTACAAAAGCAGCTGCCTCCTGGAGCGTATTTATTATCATGTGGGAGTACTGAAAGTCATTTATATGTACACTGAATATAAAACGGAGGTTGAGGAAAGACACACATAGAAAGCCCACATCACAGCACACTTAGAGACCTTTCCTGTGTAGTAACTGTACTTTACAGGAAGTGCATTGAAGTACTGGAAGCTCTTAAAGCAATATGGGAGCTTTTTGTGTGACCCACTCATACTTCATTTAAAAGGTACACTGAATTTGTTTTGCGGTCAACAGCGCCCCCAAATCCCAAAGCTACTGCTTGATTGTCAACACACTGTTTTATTCATTTATTAATCTTAATCAGGTACTATTGAGAACTGCAACAAAACCAGGGAGAGCATCCTTAAAGTCTATTTTATTCTTTATTCGGTTATTTCTCACATCCCCTTTTACATAAAAATTATTTCCACATAGGTTGACAGTTTTCTTTACAAGGGGTTACAGTATGTATAAGATCTCATATTTCTGAATAATGAAACATGAAAATCTGTATAAAAATAAATCAAAACAAATTTATTTAAGCATCAGAAACTTTACTTTGAAACTGTAAACATTCACAATGATCAGTCAGCAGGAAAAGCAAAAGAGTAATCTGGATACATAGTTCCACATTTCTCTCCTCAAACTTGGTTCCATTGTAAACCCTAATTATCCTATCCAACAACATTATCCTTTCTGATTTTTATTCTGAAAGATGCAACCCTAAGTTATTTTTTTGTAGCTATTTTATCTCTGGTAAAATATCTGTAACCCCACTGTGTTCCCCATCTATTATTACTGCCTCATGTTCGTACTGCCATGTATCCCCATTAGAGGGCGTGTTGCTCTCAGGAAAGACATATTACTGTAAATGACGCCATCAAGTGCAAGTTAATAGTCTCTGAATCATAGGCTCAGTATGTCTGAAGTGTGTGGGAGAGACCAAAAAGAAACATAATTTAGTAGACATGAAGCTCTTCAGCTACAAATATACTTGTATACACACATACATACATATACAAATACATATGTATTTATATATGTGTATGTATAAAGATCAGTGAGCATTGTATTAGAGCGTAACCTCCTCACCCTCTTTTTGCCTTTATGATATAAACCAGTTGTGATCACAGAGGATATGTATGACGTCTTGGTATGGTCCAAGGAGAATAGTGGGGGGGGGGGGCAAAATAAATAATGTTTTCAAATCTCAAATTTCAATCTTAGGTTTAATGAATGTAATTGTCTTACAGGGTAAATAAAATGTATTTGCAGATGTTAAAGATATTAAACAAATTAACACTGTTCCCCAAAACAGCATGTTAATATTTCTAAAAAGTTAATATCTTGAGTTATGGTCAAGTGCACGCTCTTTTTACTTTTTCAGATTTAAAGGGAATCAAAGTCTTACTCAGCAGTTATCCTGGTAGTCCTGTTGATGGGAAGGGAGGCACATTTGTAAATCTAGTAAAAACATGTAAAGACTAAATCTAGTCTAACTTTAGTTTTTATTCTTGGCAATAATAAACATATTTTCTTTAGTGTAACAAATGAGTATGCCAAATAAAAACATTTAAAATCTTCGAATATGAAATTATATCAATTAATAGCTGCTATGTTTAACTCCAAACAGCATAAAGCCATTGACATGAGACAGAGGGAGGGGAGCCTTTTACATGTCTGTGTCCAGTTTGTGTCCCTTCTACACGTAGCAAAGTACAACACTACAAATGAAGGGACCATGTTGATTGTAGTCATTTTGCCTCCCTCCAGGAAGTGGCCAATCAGATGTCAGGAGGGGCTCTTGCCTTCTCTTGCCCCTTGATCAAAGCCATTAGTTACCTTTGGCATGTTCAGTAGTATAGTGAGTATTTTAGTTTTTTAACACGCGATGAACTATAATGTGTACACTTGAAAACATTAAAAGTAGCCTAATGTGAGACTGTTATTTACTCAGAGGAGTGAGGAGATGAGGTCCATCTGACCTAAATGTTGCATTTATAACTTACTGGAAACCATTTCACAGTATGCAGATTGATGTTTTTTCTCTCTAAAAGATAATATAAGGTTTATTTTATTTACAATTATCATCATTGTTTTGGCTAATGTTATTATCGGCTTGGAATAAGAGTGTAGAACCATCTTCATGATCAGAAATCCTGTTGAGAATGACAATGTTCAAATGCATCGTTGATTGTTTATGTAATGTGGTCGACTATCCCTCAGATTGTTAGTTTTTTTAAACCCACAGTGGACACATTGGAAGTCTGGGACAGCAGCATACGACTGACCTGCCTTTCTTAAAAAAAAAAAAAAAACTTTGCGCATCACTTTTCCCTTTGTTCCCATGTCAGAATCCTGTAGGAATGACTCAGTCTTTGCTGTGATCAACAGGTCAGGCTGGTGGCTGGTTACGATCTGATCCTCTGAGGTAGATCACCATGGTAACTCATACTGGAGCTGGTTAACTTCAATTAAAAGTGAGCCAACTTCATAATACTAGAAAACGAAAGACCGCTGGATAACACACTCGTGTCACTTGGTGATACAGGAACCAGGTGTGTTTTTCTTTAAAAAAGGTGGATGTTATATGGCTCACATTCACCAATCTCTAACAAACAGCCACATGCAGGACACATCACTGTTGGTAATTTTCATTTTATTATAAAAACAGTATTTGAGTCCACAGTTTGTGTTTCCTTTGTACAGTAAAAAATATTAAATTAAACTCCCAAAGTTCTTAGCAGAAAGATAAAGAGGATGGAGTTTGGGGGGGAGGGAGAACAACTTCCCCCAGAAGAGGAGGAGGAAG